ATTTTGTTTAGGCATGCACGATGGTCGTGCCAGGGTTAGAAGGCGACGTGGTGAAAGGAGGAATCCACAGTTTTTTGTTGAAAGACATGTTCATCACACTGTTGGAGTTATGGTTTGGGGTGCTATAGCTTATGGTTCCAGGTCACCTTTAATCTTCATCAGAGGTAACATGAACGCGCAGCGTTATATCCACGAAGTTCTAGAACCCCATCTTTTACCCTATCTTGACACCCTGGCAGATCCAACTTTCCAACAAGATAATGCCCGAGCACATGTTGCAAGAGTCACAATAGACTTCTTTCAACATAATGATGTCACATTGTTACCATGGCCACCAAGATCTCCCGACTTATCCCCAATTGAGCACGTGTGGGATATGATGGGTAGGAGATTGCTCAATTTGCAACGTCCTCCTCAGACTCTAGAAGCACTTCGAGAGGAGTTGGTGGTTGCCTGGAATGAGATACCACAGGAGGACATTGAGCACCTGATCAGAAGCATGCCTAGGCGCGTTGGAGAATGCGTAGCACATCAGGGTCCATCCACACATTATTAAAGGTCAAAGGGCTTTAAAGCAGTGCAGTCATTTTGAAATTTTTATCATTTACTTATTATGTTTCATTAAGTACTTGTACAAAATTTTATTAAAATAAAACCATTTAAACTGGGTGTTCGGATTTATATGTCACTTAGTATATGTTGGAATGTGCGATTTTCGAAAGCTCACCGAAAATCTAAATAAATAAAAACTGTACCAAAATATGTGTAGAATACGATTAATTTTAACTTCAGTCTTCATTTTGATGACTTATTTTTGACACTGTCTATTTTGAAGTTGTTTTACATGTTTGGGTATTATGTTTTTATGATATTTATGTACAATTTGAATATAATTTATGTCAAGTATCATTACTGTTGAGATTGATGAAACTGTATTGAGATCATATAGTGTTTTCCCAAGAACGATGTCGATGTACGGCAAATTATCAGTTCAGTTCCATGTGAGTGATAGATTTTGTGAAAAGGTGTGGCAGCAGCTAGCTAAACAGGTTAGTATTTCATAGCCACTTACTGTAGATGAAGACACAAGTAACATTAGTAGACAACAGACAGAAGCCAAAACGCACGTAGGTATAACACTGCTTTCCGCTCTAACTTTAGAGAGAAAAATTGAGAGAACACTGGTAGAGACACTGAGTATGTGGTTGGTGTTGGTTGGAGTGATTATACGGCACTAGATAGCACTAACAGAGCTGCGGTATAAAATGCTTCGACATTAACTAAGAAGTGTTAAGTATTCACAGGTTGACCAGCAGCAGACCAGTCAGAGCTCAAGATATTTCAAATTTGGAAACGTCTTCCACGCAACCAAAGGGTAGAAGTATATTTTTGTCTGAACCACTTGTTCTACTTTATAATGAAGTTTTTGCGATTCACGCATTTTCCTACTCGTAAAAAGTGCATCCATTTTCTGAAGATGATTCAGTTTGTCTGATGAAACATGGACTTGGATTTCGTATATCGAAAATAACATTCAATTCGCACTTCCTGTACTGCCCGCTGGATGAATCGGGCAACAGTAATTCTATTTCGAAGAACACTGAGAACTTTCTCTTAACTTAACCTTTCGTGTCAAATTATAAATGTATAAGAGAAAAGTATATGTTCATTAAATTCATGGCTCAAATGCAGTTTATTCAAGAGATGCTTCAGGGATAAGGAATTTGGCCGCTTAAATGTAGCCCCTGAATACATTTACGTAATAACGTGGCTACCTTAACGCCAGCAACAGTATACTTCAGTTATCCTCAATAAGCCAAAAAACTAACTGCAAATTGAACTGGATCCGTCACATCTGTGGCAGAAGCCTCGTCGTCAAGGTAAGACAGGCTTACATCCTAAAGACAGTGCATTGAAATGCTCTTTACGTCACGCCAATTTTTGAAAAATATTACCGAAGTAGAGCCTTGAATCCACACAAAACCATTCAAATATGTCTATATTTTAATACAAATATACTCCAAATCCATATGAACAAAATATAAAGACTAGTACTGTAGATTTGGCTCGTTAATTCGTATATTTTTTTGAAAAGTATTATTTTAGTTTTCAATTGAATAACCTATGAATCCAAAAATAAACTCATTATCATAAAACAATTCGCTAATTACCAGAAATAGTTTATAATATATGTATTTGTGAATTGAATAACTGTTTCATTGCCAACTAATTCTTCAGTGTTAGATGGTATGTACAGATTAACGGTTTCATCAAGATCTCATTTGCTGTATTGTTGCCAAAGCAGTTTACTCTTAAGCCTCTTGGCGATCACACGAAAAATGTATTTTTTGAAGTAGCGACGAAAGACAGCTTTGTAAATTCACAGGTATTTCGCCTTGGTGCATGACGCATTAATGTATTTTTAGTGTTTCCTTTTGAGCTTCTTTTGAAATTGCGTTATGAAATTCGACAATTGGCATAACAACAAAGTAATCTTGTGTGACTCTCGTCATCACTCGTTAATGACTAACCGCGTACTTTAGTTTTGTTAGAATAAGCGTGGTTCACTAATTCTGGTATGTTTCTTTTGTTTTCCTAACCACTGAGCGAACGGTATGTCACATGGCTAATTGCGAAAGGTTTTTACAACGCGTTTTGCAAGTCTTTGACGGTTCAAAAGCGTGAGCGTGTTCAACATACCTAAATTCATGGAGTACTTTATTTGGAAAGGGCTCTATTATAACCCGAACACAGGATAACTCTTGTTTAATTCAGAATGAAAGAATTTGGTACGAGTTGAGGCTTATCCTTGAAAATGAGGAACTAGAACAACTAATAGAAAATGGGTCTATTACTATATTTTTAACATTAGTGGCAGAGTTGCTCAATCGGCCAGTCTCGCGACAAATAGTAAGTGAAAAGGACGAATGCAGCTAACTTTCTGGTGAAATATGATATGAAAACCTAGGAAAATATTATTTTGCCGAAAATGGATGCATTGACTAACTTTATTGATAAATGTCAAAACAGACGTGAACAGCTGTACATAATGTAATTTAATACTTTCTTTGTGTTCCCCACTCCTTCGTTATAAAGTATTAACCAGTAGCGAGAGAGTTCCGTTACCTTTCTGACAGCTTTTGATATCAAGTAGAATACACAGCCTTCTTTTGGGTCAATTTCTCATGAAATTCTAGTTTTCAATACTTGGAACAAAAGTGTCCCAGGGTCTAAAGTTTTTCAACAAGTAGTTTCCAAGATGCAGGGCGTGCAAGCTGGATCTTAGCTGATTTTATTTCCAGCGTCTGGCGAGGAAGTATTGTAATGGCGAAAATTTTCGAAAATGAGATTTTATGTTTCTTGAATGTTGGAGGGTGCGTAGCCAAACAGAAATCGCGGATGGCTGAGGCTATTGGCTATTTGCAACGCCTAATTAATTTACATATTGCCTCAGTTTTTAGGAGAAATAATGATTTCTTTTTGACAAAAAAGCCCAGTTTTAAAGTTTAAGATTCAATATTTTTTAATGGAACTCAATTTGAACAAGATTTACAATAAACCGAGCGAGAAGAGAACAATGGGTTCAGCTGTGTTAGAATGAGACAGAAGTTTGTACCTGCTCAATTTGGTAATTGGAATGATTTGGCTGCATCCATTATCACGAATCGTTGAAGATACATTTATTTTTTGTTCAGTTATCTCATTGTTTATGTTACATGTGGCATACTGTTAGAAAGAGTGTTAACTAGAGAAGTTTTTAATTACGTTTGAGAACCTTTTGCTTATTGTAAAGTTGACGTAGCATCTTTTTCCGTTGATTTAAGGAAGTTTGTTGCTCCACTGTTACTTGTTCTTCAACTGTTTGTATCAAACGTTGGTTGAATCTGAATGAAACAATAGTAGACTTCAGAACAAAATCAATTTTGCGCCGTTGTGACCGTAAATAGAAAAAATATTGACACTTAAACTTAAAAACTGGGGATTTTCTCAAAAAAAGAAAAAATCATTATTTCTCCTTAAAACTGGCAAAATGTAAATTAATTAGGCGTTGTAAATAGCCAATAGCCTCAGCAATCCACCATTTCCGTTTGGCTACTCTCTCTTCAAACACCCTGTATATGTACATCACGAAAAACCATGTCACTCATTTCTGTTGGTCTGTCTGTGCGTCGATCCGTCTTTCTATCTGTCCGTTAATCTTACAGCCGCCTAAAACATAGCTTATCCTATGGACGCAAATGTTTTGTAGTTTTTGTAAATCGGTCCAATGACGGCAGAGTTTGAGCTGAACATGTTCCTTTATGTACTGATAAAGGCGTTGCGTTGGAAGTGCAGAGTCAACCTACTTGTCGCAATTTTTTTCCTACTGAAAATGTTTAGTGAGTGATTTCTATCAGTTACCGAAAGGAAATATAACCGCTTTCATTTAACATATGAAACTTATCCTGTGGTCTTATAGTCCTCCATGTTTACTGACCGTTAAATGAAACTATTTACGTAGAGTTGAATCTTACTAACTCTTCAGCCAAGTTGGTGGCCCTTTTCAAGATATTTTTAATATTTGTACTTTGTACAGGTACATCGAGGTGGCGTGAACGTCAGTAAAAACTATAGTGGGTTCATCTTAAAGCCCGAAATCTTGAAGAATTTACCACGCCGACTTGCTGTCACTCATTCTACTCCCTCATATAAGAAACAAAACTGGCAGAAATTTGTTTTTTCGGATATCCACATGTTCAACTGTGACAACCTGTTTATATAGTTTCATCTTCCGGTGCTGTAAGTCAGTAGAACATTTAATTTTCCTGCACCTCTTCTAAGTAAGATACTTCCTGGAATGAGGCTGTCTTTCATTTATTTATTAGTAACTTAAGCTTTATGGCTATGTAGAACACGCAATGCCTTTTGAAATAATTTTTGCGTTATCTTGAGGTCTGACTGGAAGGGACGCCTTTTACATATACTGTAAAAGTAATGCAGATATTAAACACAACAGCGAGTATTTGGTCTAATAACTTTGGTTTAATAACAATAGAAAATAAAGGTACAATTCAATACATGCTTCTGATGTATATAAATTAAGGGCACTAAAATAAAATTGTAGACTCCAAAAAATAAGAAGATAAAACGAAACTCAACATTTACATATATGGCCTAAGGAATAAACCAAACAACAGAGGATGTAGTCTATATGACAGGCTGACAGCGCCACGAAAACAAAACACAAAATAAAAATATATACTAAGAGGTGACTATTCGACCAACATATTTTGACAGATAAACCGTACTATAACTTTTATAAAAACAAACATTTAGTTTTTTCAACATCCTCGTCATCCGTAGTTTGTCATAACGGCGTTGTGGAGCATGCTTATCGATCTAATTTTTGGCTACGAACTGTATTGCGAATACCGGGACATCTCAGCAGTATACTGGCCCTAAAGTCGACTTACATTAAGTAAAAAACATACATATAGTTACTTTACATTACAACAAAGGTTGGCCTATTGCAGCCCAAGCGTGGACAGTGGTTGTGAGCTAGACACCTTAAGTCCAGGTTGTAAAACATAAAAGTCTGGTAAGCTGTGGTTGTTGATGTAGTAAACTGAGCATTCATACAAATCAGTGGTTTCACAGTTTTCAGTTAAGTCTTATCTGGCAACTAACTGTATGTAACTGATTTTGTTGTGCTTCCAAATATTGTGAAACCGGTCTTAAAGGATACAAAATACCACATCATTTTGGGAAAACCACACCAGTTCTCTCAAAGCAGTTTTCTGGTGTACAAGTTAGTGCATTGAGTTTTGCTCATCGTATAGGAAATCTTCTGGTGCCCCTTCAACTGTTGGTGAGCATGGTTGCAAGTAATTTTTCATGAGATAAGTGCCGATGGCCGGGTGTCCGTAGAAGTCCTCAACTGTATATGTTTCTGACGTGCCCGGCTTATTGTTTGAACCTCTATTTATTTTGCTAACGATTTAAAAAAAAATCGTTTTATTGCACTCAACACCCATCAAACCATTCCTGCTGTTTACAACCTGAACTAGTTATGACATGGCCTGGTACACTTAAGACAAGATAGATAGCAAAGAAACTGGCTTCATGCAACTGATCGACTGAGGATTGATGTAAAATTGACTTAGTTGAAGGACTTTCGCAAAATGAACATAGAGTGAAACTTAACCTTCGTTTCATCAAACTCGGATTCACGAAGCTGCATATTCCTGAGTATGGAATAGAGTGACAACTGTTTAGTGCTGTTGGGACGTTTCATGAAGATAGTTTTCTTTGCTTATGCAACAGGTTTCAGTTTTAGTAACAGCAACGTGACACATTCAACAACATTCAAATGAGATTTTTTGTAACCGTAAGTACGTATATTTACATATTTTGACTGCGTGCCTACCAACACGCTTGAGGTAGCTGGCAGTAACTGCTTACGAGCATCTTTTGAGAAATGTTACCCGAAAGGGATTGTTTATTACAAACTTGCTGGCTATCACTCAAGGATTGTTAAAAATATTTTTTAGAATCTGGTTGCCAAGGTGGCAGGACACGCTAAACAAAAAATGCTCTAAAGTTGCTAGTATTTTTGATGTTTCACAGATTATAAGAAAAAAACTTGAAAACTGGTCAACACTAATACATGCAGGAATGTTATGGGTTTTAGTTAATGTATGTTAAGTAGTCGGCATTAAAAACATGTGCATTGTTGTTAGAGCAATAAGTAAAAAAAATCATAACATCAATATCTTATTATTGAATAGCTCTGCTTGATGACTTATTTTCTGAAAGATGGAAAGTCTGCACTGTACCAGCATGCTGATTTTTCCACCCGCTACAGCATGTGGGCGAACTAATGCAAATGTTCGAGTGCTGAAGACAAAATTTATTCCTATTTATATAAATTCTTCTGAAAATACACAAATGGTTGTTTTTTTCCAAGTTTACTGATATTTGCAAGTGTTGTTTGGAAAAAATCATTATGCCTCTTTTGTTCCAATTTTGTAACTAAATAAATTGATGATTGATTGATGCTCTTGGACTATAATGAGGTAACAAACACGTATAAAACACACTATCCAGTAAGTACGTATATATCACAAAATTCGAAAGTCAGACAGTGCTAAGAATGTCATTTGTATTCGCATTTGGACTTATCACCTACTATGACTATACGAAAGACATGCTCCACGGCACCATTTTTCCTAAAAAAGATATTGCGGCCACAGTGGTCCATAGCTTCATTATGATTCTTTATCGTCTCATTTTGAAAAATTAGGCTGACACGCGTGTTTAAGAAATGAATTTTGTGTTGCAGATATTCTTGATGTACTGTTATTTAAATCATAGATATGATTCTTATAACGCTTCAGAAACATCATGTTTCGTGTTGTTTCAAACTTATAAAAATGTGTGTACGACCTTTCCTCTGATATTTCACTGATGAGCAGTGACAGTGTGGATTGAATAGCATCCTATTTCAATGGTGAAAAGAGAATTTGTACATAATATTTTGATGTGCAGAAGCTAATGATAGTGATTTGAATAGCAACAAATGTATGAATAATGACACAATGAGGTGCTTAAGTTGTTTGGAAATACTACATGATTGTGGTCGCATAATAGACAAACCCTACGAAATATTCACTAAAGCACAAAACAAAATAAGTGTGATTTCAACTTACAGCGATTTGTGTCGCAGCACAGTGTCATTCAAAATTCATACAAACAGGTTTACTTGAGTGAAACAATTTCAGTAAGGAACCTTCATTTATAAACCTTAAAATATTCGTCTTTCAAAGGTTTCAGATAACTTCAAGGCTTTTTGAAAGGCTTACCATTTTCGAAAATTCATACTTTTTTAGTACATCAAGATGCAACTAGATATTATATCTTTCACTGTGTTCTTTATCTTCATGTCGCCTTCATTCCAATACGTATGACTCGCAAGATTAGAATTTTTCATGAGACCCCCATATTTTGCACTGAAAGATGTTTGTAAAAAATATATATCTCATGCTACGGCTTCCAAAAATCAAATGTCGCTATGGCAACACTGTGCAACGCATAATTACATAATATACAGGTCCGGCCCGGCCGCGAACGTCACGTGTTACGTGACGTTGCGTGACGTGGCGCTCGCGACTAGGCGCCGACGCGATTCATTTGTTTTAAATTTGTAACTAGTAAAAATATCTCACAGTTCGATAAAAATAGCAGCTAGATCCTGAGATATGCACTGTGGCTGTACCATTGGTGGTGGCCTAGGTTGTGGCGGTGGTGGGATTTGCGTAGGCGAAGGAGGGGGCGTCGCAGAGACGGACTGTGGCGTTTTACACCACCAACTTTCCTCTTGGAAACTCCGGATTTCCCTGCGTATTCCATGGTCGTCGTCTGGCCGCCCCGTCTTTCTTTCCTTCGTTTTCTTCTCCTCCCCCTATGTGCAGGATTAAAATAGATCTGTATTGTTGCTGTTCTGGCCATGAGAGAAAAAAAGTAAACGATATCGGTATTTTCTATCTTGAAGTGGCGATCTGACATGTACGGTGTCTCGTTATAAATTAACCCGCCCACTAGCTTCTTTGTATGATGTGAGCAGGTTTTTTTTTCAAGGGGCTGGCTTCCACCAATTTACAAAACTGCAACAAGATGCAACCAACTGGAGGAGAAAGGATGATGATTCTCTTGAGGGTCAAAATCCTATAAAAAAAATGGAAGACGTAGCACCCAAACCAAAATGACTAAACTTAAGTTACTTTAAAAAAGGGTGCTAGTCCATGAATTCGCGCTTGGGGCCTAATATCCCAGAGTCCGGAAAATGTCGAAACGACCCTGCACCACGACCTCAACGGAAACAGAAAAGCGAATCACGTAGAACACGTAACGTTCAAGAAGGTATCTTGAGTGGCCTTGAATATGAAACCAACTAACGGAGAACGGAGTTTTTTGCTGATCGTCAACACCATACTGACGCTGAGAAAGAAAGATATAATACGAATGAAATTATAATCAATAAACTATTAAATTTGCCAAAAGAAAATCATTGAAAAGGGTTTGGCCCAGGAATGGGCACTCTATTATCAATGAAGAGAAATTCAAATTACGGATAAGTGATAAATAGTAAAAAAAAGGTTACGTGATTTTGACAGGTGACACATTTAGGAAAAAAGTTATACAACTTATAGTGCTTTCGCTCACTGCCTTGGTAGTTATATCAAGAGTGTCAATGTTTTTGCAATCCGTCAGTCGGTTCTATTCGCCTTGGGATTTTTCTAGATTATAGTAGAGGAGTCGACTGCAAGCTTGTCAGGTTTGCTATTTAGCATCACAGAATGATATATTGACTAGTTTTCAACATAGCATATTATTACTGGTCACTGAACTATTACTAGTATCCAAGAAAAAAAATAGGGCTCTTATGCGTGATTCGCTCATAGATGACTCGAAATTTTGTCAAGGATCCGCGCGTTTTGCTTATGCATGTACCGTGGCGGTGTTGCCAGGATGACATTACATGGCCAGAAAAAAACGCAACATTTATACTGAGCTGAATGGCGTTCATTTATCCTCACGGCTTTTGGTGGATTCATCAAAAAGTCACAGGCAATAAGCAAACATATCGTCTCAAGGACAGGCTGTCCAGATAACTACAGGCAACCATGAAATACAACCATGACTGGTCAAATAAGTAATATGATATAGGAGAAATTTGAATTTTAGGCCGACGTCCGTCTTTTGCTACTAAACTAAAACGCGTAACACCAAATAAGAACAGCACGTGCAGCTGTTTTTTGGACGCGACGTTTTGGGTTATATCTCTTATCTCTCTCCAATTCATTCGCCTTGTCTAACTGTATAACTACTCTTTGGTTTTACCTTAAGAAAACAATTCCATTGTAAGATCCGTCCACACATTTTTTTATAAAAGAGTTTTTGGATAGTTAAGCTGATCTATCAAATGGGCGAAAAATATTACACATTATATTATTAATATTATTTGCTGTTGTGAACAAAAAGGGCTAAAAAACACCAACCAGGACAAATTAAATGTTATCGAAAACCTGGCACCTGGAGTTGACATATTTAATCTCAGCAATACGTTTAAAAATGATTAGGTTATCAGGTTTAAAATAACATATAGTGTTTTGACTTATAGAATCCTTGCTAAGAATAAAAAATAAAATAAACTAATATTTTTATCAATATTGAGAAAAATTCAGTTTATTATTGATGTCGTTAAACGGCTAATAATGATATTGCCTGGTTCTTAGTTTCTGCCTATAAGGCTCGGTTTCTCAATCGCTGCTTAACCATCTAATCAGTTGCCCGTAAATTAGTTTTTCAGGATCTCTTTCTGCATCTGAAGAGTCGTATTCTTATTATTTTATGACACTCGATGTTTATGTCTCATGTCATCCTTGACAAGTCAAGCCAAAAAGGTCTCTCATTGCGGTTTAACTCCAATTTACTAATAAACCTACACAGTGGAGTACCGGGTAACTAGAGATGTAATTACCTGGCTTAGGTAGAAGCTACGGGCTTCCGCATCGGTTCCGAGCCAAGGTTGGATATAAGAAGGCCTCAGATCAATTGATGATTAGGCGTATGGGGAGGAGTGGCGACGGAGAGATTATAGGCAGGCCAAGAGATTTTAGGGGACCCTGACAAATATCAGACGCACCAGCTACTGGGCAGACAGAGTCGCTCAATATTTTGTTGCTGGTAGACTGAACAGCTACTTGTCCCTTTTAAGGGTGAAAAGAGGTTCTATCTGCCCCATCCGCTAAAAGCAAGATGAGACAGCATTCCTCTGTCTAGGTTTTTGCCCCGTATTGCAACCTAAGGGCTGATATATTCAAGGCCATGGAACTTGATAATGAAGATGCAAAGTCGGCGGCGTATCCGGACATCGGATTCATTAAGTCATCAGGAAGATCCGATAAATAAGTTGTATCAGACGTGACCTATCTGCTTGCCTACACCTTCCCACTACTAGTACTACTTCTAGCCAACCCATAAATGATAGTTTGGTTAGATTATCAACTATCATTTTAGAACAAACTTGATAATGAAAACTTTTGTCATCTTCCGGTTAGCAATATAATTATAGTTAAGCTGCAATTGAAAAACCTACCCTTAACGAGTTACTTGAATGCAGATTGCAGCAGTGGACATCGTACATGAGATATTGCTTCGAGAAGGAAAATACTGACGCAGAACTTTTGAATGATGCAAAAATCAGCCCTATAATACACAATATCGTATAAACTCACCGTGTAAGGCGTCGTGCTTTCGCGACCTGCCTGCGCTGTTGCGCTGGTGGCAGGCCGTCCGCTGCGGGCTAGTACGGCCTCGCGGAGTCCTTGGCCCGTTTCAACTGCACCTTCAGCCTCTTGGTCCCAATCTGGAAGCCGTGCATGGCCTGGATGGCTGCATGCGCAGACTGCGGGTTGTCGAACGAGACGAAGCCGAAGCATCGGGACATGTTCGTATGTTTGTCGATGAATACCTTGGCCGAGATCACGGGGCCGAACGGTAAAAACGTCGACGCCAGGTCCGTGTCCGTGAACTCCTGGGGTAAGTGGTAGATGAATAGGTTGCAGCCGTCTGGACCTGCAACAAAAGGAAACAGATCTTAATGCTTTGCGGCTTACTGGTCTTCTGGGATGACCACGAATTCCTGGTCAAATTACTTGATTTCTGATTGTATTTTGAAGCTACCACAACTACTGGTTGCTTATAACTTATTCTTTTCACTTGGAATGCAATCAGAAAATAGCTGGTGGATACAACAGGTTTATAAGCAACGGGGCGTTTTAGCTACTGACTCATTTTATGTAACAAAAGGTATTTATGAAAAAATGTTCTTATTATTTTTAAACTATACCTTTATATATATACCATACAATTATCTGCTATGCTGATGGCACAAATTTAGTGTTGGGTGGGACAAGTGTAGAGGACCTAACTGCTAATGGGAATCTCTTATTCAGGAGTGTGAATACATGGTCTTCTGAGAACAAACTAGTGCTGAATAAATCCAAAACTGATGCAACATTATTTAGAACTAAGCAGAGTAAAGTCGTTAAGCCACAATGTATCGATATAGATGATCATTAACTGCAGTTGAGTGAAAGTGTAAAATTCTTAGGCATCTATATTGATGAATTTTTAGATTGGACAACACATGTATTCGAACTGCTGAGGAGGCTCAATTCCATTTGCTATGGTTTTAGGGTAATATCAAGATATCTGAATAATACGAGTATGAAAATATTGTATCATGCTAATTTTGGAAGTGTTCTAAAGTATGGAATTAGTTTTTGGGGACGCAATAGGTTTATTCAAAAAAATTTTGTGGTTCAAAAAAGAGCAGTACGTCTGCTAAAGGGACTAAATTTCAATTAATCTTGCAGGGGGGTGTTTAAAACTGAAAAAATCATGGCTATGTATGCCATCTATGTGTATGAGTATCTTTTTGAAAAATAAAAATTTATTTCAGCTTGAGGTGCAAACTGTTTATGATACTCGAACAGTCAATGATACTTATCCGATACACAGATTATCCTCCACAGAAAAAAGCCCTATTTACACAAGTTTACAATTTTTTAACAATTTACCAAATGAAATTAAAAACATAAACGGTTTACATAAGTTTAAAAAGAGTATTAAGCAATTTCTAGTAGAGTCAGAGCCTTATACAATAGATGAGTTCTATGGGAGTTGTAATAGTTTAAGATTGTAGCTGTTTTCAGATAAATAACCATGTAACACAGAAAAAGGTCTCAGGTAAACTACTATAGTTATGGTGATAGTGACGCAACATTTCATTTTCTAGGGGCTATACAATTTTTGTAATGTCATTGTACAATTTGGAATATAGATTACTATTATTATATTACACCCCAATATGTGGGGGTATTATGCTCCCTGGAAAGAGAATATACTCCGGAATAACAACCATACATATACATTATATTACTCGTTGGAAAGTATTACACAGCTTGATTACCATGAAGAGAGTAAATGACATGACCGGCTTAGTATAGCCTGGAGTGGATACCTTAATTAATATTGTATAGTTTGTGTCATTGTCAAGCGAACGTTGCCATTCATGCTGTCTATGATGACCGGCTGTATAATAGTGGCGATAAGATACTAATTCGTATATCTGAGATGTATAGTGAAAGTTATGGTTTCCAGTTACAAACTGAAAAAATTACTGGGTAAATCTAAAATGTCGAATCGCAACGCTATTGGCGTGACGTCACCATTTGCCACCTTTGCCTGCCAGCCCATTGTTGGTCAGTTTGATTCAAAATAGCTGGCGTTTGTTCTAACTGCTATTGATTGTCAACGTGTCAGATGTTCCAGTTTCTCAATGTAATTTCTAGTAATACGCATAACCTAAAAATACTTTGATTATTTCACTTGTATCCATCACGTTTTGACGTCTACTGAGGTGAACAGCTGTTCCACAAGTGACATTTTTGTATTAGTTTGTAACCGTTGGCAGAAATAAATCAGGTGCAAAACTACTAAAACATGCTTGTGTCGTCTATCTGTATGCAGATGAATTTTTCTAAATAAGAGATATTAGCAAGTACAAAATAAGCCTGTAGCATACAACAAACTAAAACAATATACGGTTCTATCTACCTGGCATTGTCGGGCCGTATCTTCAGTTGTCCCAAAAGTATTGTATGACGTTTTTATGGCCTCCTTGAATTTCATAGTTTTTCCTCTCTTTCAGAAAGGCTGGGGTATTTATAGAATTCTACTGTTCGGTGTCAGCGTCAGCGATTTCCTATTGTTAGGCTATGCTTTGTTTTTGGATTGTAGGAAATTTCAGGCTGATATAACAGATGATATACATCTGAACATGAACAATTTGATGTAAATGGATATTTGTAACATAACCTCAAAATAGAGCGCTGATGCGGAAAAGTAGAAAACTATGAAAGCCTAGGCCATACAATAAATTGTAGGAATGACTGAAAAATCATTTTTGACATTATGTAGATTTTTTTTATGACATTATGTAGGTTTTCCGGCAAGACGTCAACTTGGAAGTAGCTGTCGTTCACTTCATGCTCACTTATAGCAAGCACGGAATGAATTATTTGCACACTAGCCTACTTAGTCAACAAGTTGACATTTTATCTTTTTTTTTTGATCTTTTATAGGTTTTTTCTGTAATACGTCAAAGGATGCAGTTTTTTGATAAGTAGTAGAACTGCTCCCGCTATCAACTATTTTACTCCTTTGTTTTCAAGAAAGGACCTTATACTTGTGGTTTTGAATATCACTAGCCTTAGGACAATATTAAATTTTCAGTGTTTTGACAGAGTCTCAAGTGAATTTTAAAATTTCTAGGCCTGATTGCCAGAACCTTGAGTACTCATGCCTAAACGCATTCTTAACTTGAAATAGCTTGATTGAATTGAAGACAAAATTATTGTATGGAGAAAATTGACTTTAAAAATTTTTTATTGTGACTTTTTGCTTTATTGACATTTTAATTATTTAGTTTAATTAGGTTTGTTATTATCTTGTTTTTCAACAAATTTATCACAGAATGAAAGAATCACTCCGTAAAGTCAGTTTGATACAACAAATTTTAAAAAAAATATTTAATGACACCTTTATCCACTTGTAGCTGCAATCATTATAGCGATTTCGCACCTGTTTTCACCGTAGTAAAAGCAGAAGGTGATTGATCCATCGCAAAACGTGTGCACGTGCATTTGGAAAATGAACACTGTTGACGAAGCTCGAACGATCACGTATGAAAAAAAACGGTGACACGGAAGCCCGGAATGGAGAGACTCTCAAATTACGGCGTATCCTGCAAAAAATTCGCTTGCTCTATTGTTATCGAGTACCGAGGGAAAATTATTTCAAGAAGTCGTAGCGTAATGTAATAACAGCGACGCCGCCTATTCGGCGATTATTATAGTGTGATGCCAGTTCTAGAAGTCGCCAATCAATCAGCGAAGAATTGTTTTAAACATGAAAGATCGTTTGTTTGTTCGAGAATAGTTACGGATTCTAGTAAAAAGTGAAATGCAATGGAATATTTTCACTTTTACTGCCAATTTTAAGACTTTTACCAATAAGAAGATTAGATGAAAGAGGGGCTGATACAGACTGATCGTTTTACCCAATACTGGAAATGTTGCTCATAGAGGATATTCAGTTGCTTTGAATAAATCATAAGGCTTTTTAGATGTAATACGTCAAATAGCAAATTGTACATCTACAGACTGAATTTACGCGATGTAGGTACAGAAAGCGACAGTCATTGCATACAGAACGTTACATGTACGTATTACAAAAAGTAAGCATGGGTCCGTAAGCATTCCCCGTTTCTTTGACACGAAAACTGTGCGCCAACTGGTATAAGAACGTTAGACAACAGTTTTGCACATATCAAGATGAACTTTGATAATAAACCTGAGTCTCTCGAAACTCATCTTAAATTCTCAATATATTTTCGAGCAATGCAAGGTGAACCAACAATGAACTGAAGTTGAATAGGATGTCATAGGTCTAGTCTTCGAGTCAGACAAACCGAAAGCAAACAAGGTTTACTGAAAAACTCTGAATGTATTGCGCTAGTAGATGACTTAGTGTTCCTCTGATTAACGACTTGCAAATGATGTGTGACCACAATTGTATGTTCATGGAATGGGCATACATTTCAGAGATGTCGGGATGCCTGCTTTATCTACGTAAACGTCGAAATAAGGCTTTGGAGAACTACTCGTAGGTGCATTTACTCGCGCATTATCAATCAATGGCGGATCGAACCTTTGAGGGGGTGGACACAGGAACATGTTAGTCTTGGGTGGTGGAGAGGTTGATTCAGTGGTTATAAAAGCAAATGCCCTTTGTTATAACTGAAGAGCGGGGGGAGACTCGACAATTAATTCAACCAGGGGAGGGGGTCATACGGATCAAGGATCCACGCCTTGTTATCAATAAAACAACAACAAGTTTATTACCGCAACAACAAAGCATTTCCAAACCTACGTTTATACAACCTACGAGCACTTTTTTTCATATTTGGAAGCGCTGATCTCCATATAATTTTTCTGAACACCTTCTGTAACAATCTAATAGTAATATAGATGTTAAAGGTAAAGTAGAGCGATGCTTTTGAATATTCTAAGCCCCGAAGGCTAGCGCCGAACGGAAGACGGCAAGAAACAGCATCGTAAATAATAACTATATCTCACACTGCTATGTCTGTTTGGGTTCAGGGAGACACTTTAAATCAAGCCAATCTGATTTTTACATCAACTAAATGAAGAATATATCTATACAATGCAACAATGAATTTAAGCAGTGAATGCGCATCGTTCCGCCACTTTGCGAGTTCTCTTCGACAGGACGCATTATCTACCTTGAGAATTGGTGTATGTAAAATATGTGTTGTGAGATGTTTCTCAAAGAAGGTACTCTCTTTAGACTTGCCTACTTAATGCATTGTAGAGTCATTAACTACAAGGCGTCCCTATTCCAATAGTTTCGTCTAGGAACTCAGAAGCGTTCTCATTTTCTTATATCTACAGAAAGCACATCAATCATCAAACATCAACCATCAAACG